TTGAACCACACCAGCCTAGCTAGAGAATACCTTTTATTTTTTTAGTTAATCCTAACCTGAGGGTATTTTTTCCCATTGCTTTTCAGAGAGAATAAAAAGGTTGGGGGGGGGAGGGGGTTGAGAGATAAACAGTGATATGAGAGAGACACATCAACTGGTTGCCTCTCCCACGTGCCCTGAAAGGGGGCAGGGAGCGAACCCCCCAACCCAAGTGTGTGCCCTTGACTGGGAATCAAACCAGTGACCCTTTCATTTTGGGGCTGATGCTCTAACCACTGAACACATCGGCCAGAGCCCATTAGGGATTTTTAGGTCAGTTCCAAGGTAATGTTTCCCAGTACATGCTGCTGTGTTCATTAATAAAATGCTACCTAAGTGATTGTACAGAGAACATCTCCATGTGGAAAGAGATGGCCAGCAAAAGAGCAAAATCATTTTACCAGGCATCAAAGAGAAGAAGCTAAGTATTTTCTGGGATTTCAGGGAGAGAAATGAACTCAAATCCCCACTCCCTTAGATTTGCACAGGATTGTCAAGAGCTGAAAAACTTCAAAGTATAATAAAAGTACGGTTCAATTTGAGAAATATGAAGCGTTTGGAGTAACTAATTTGGCCAAATATTTATGTTTTGGTGCATAGTTGGACTGCTTATCAGACCTTCAGGAATTCTTTGTTTTTCATTTTTGTGCTTTTATTTCCTTTCTGATCTCCTCTCCCCTAACTAGAAGCAAAACACCCTCTGGCAATGAAAGTTAAGATGCTTCTCCATAGAGGCACCAAGTCAGGGCCAAGGGGGCTGATCCCCAAGCAGTAATTTTCCTTCCCCGCCCCCTCACCCCCCGCACTCTCTTCTGGAAGTGCTGGGAATTGTAGGGGTCTCGAACACCTCCCCTGGAGAGAAACAGAAATCTTTCTCCTGATAAGCATACCAAACCTCCCTGAAAGATCTTTTATTGACACGACTTTAAAGGCTGCACAGGGCAGAGAGGCAAGCAGGAGAGTTCCCAAGAGTGTCCAGGACCTGAGACCAAACTCTGCCTCT